GCTGGTATCAGTGTCGCTCTTAGCTTCTGCCTCTGGCTCGGCATCTCCTGTAGCATCCTCAGACTTCTCCTCGGGACTCCTGGAGCGAATAGCGACTGGAGACTCCGGTTCTTCCACCTCTACCGCAGAAACGTTCACCACATCGATCTCCTCCTCCTCGTCAGAACTGGATTCCTTCCCCTCCCTGGTTTCTGGGACTTCCTCCTCCTTCGGCGTCTCATCCGAGAGCTCCCCAATGGTCATCACCTTCGCCTGGTCGCCCTTGAACTGGAAGCTTGTATCGTCGTCCGAATCCTTCACTGTTGTGGCATCCTCGTCGATGAAGAGCATGGAGCCCTGGTTGACGCGTGTGGAGGACGGGGACTCTTGGGCCGCCTTGGAATCCTGAAGAGCACAAGGGAAACAGTCAGCGTCTCCAGAGTGACAATTGTTTACGAACAATTACATCAAGTAAACGCAAACTATAGTAAATAATTTCTTGCGGCAAATTTATTAACACTAATCGGATAGCTCAATTGGAAATGAAAAATCCTTCTAGGCATTATACTTGAATTTACTCGAATCCTAACTTTAACTTTTAATATAGTAGAGTTTATAAATTCCGGTAAAGTACATAGAATCTCACAGAAATATAATTTTGAATGAATGTCTGCAAGAAAATAAAATTTTACTTTATCAGATGTTCGTTATTCCTTTCGTAAAAATTATGATAGCTTGAATTATGCTAATACATAATCTTTTATTCTAATTCCACTTACTGTATCACAAACGTTTGTCTTCTTAAATACTATATATTTTTGCTGAGTGGCTAATTTCAAGTTATCATCCCACTTCATGGATAGAGGAATTATACAAACAAGCTAGGAATCGAAAATGACTATTTATTGCTGTCATATCACAGGTTGTTCCATAATTCAACTTGATACTTAGCTCACCCAACAAGAGAACACAGGCAATAAAATGAGACCAACAAGGTTTTCCGTGACATGTGTTGAAAAATAAAGATAATGAATAACTTGATCTGTAAAGTTGTCCATTCTTACACACTTCTTCTCTGTGTAACTACAGTCAAACATAATAAAATAACTTATAAAGTACAATACAGTGACTGTAAACACCTACTTGACATACAGTGGTAGCGGAAATGAAGCTTGGATCTCTGACTTACAGTTACTTACCTTGAGCAAAAACTGCATAAAAGATACTATTTGGAAATACAAAGGCCTGAATCGGGGAGGCGACAATAAAGCGTTAGTCATCAAAAGCAGTTTTACATCTAGATACAAGAATCACTTTCATACGTCACATGAATGCTTAGAGAGACATTTTTAAAGCTATAACCAATGGCGGGTTTAAGTCGTGTAGCATGGTCAGTTTATACTCGTATAAATTTGTTCTTTTATCATGTATATAGTCATATGATGGTTAGCACTGAATAGCATGCAGTTCCTGCTTCTCGAAGCGAAGTAAATAAGTGTTGAAGAACAAAATGAGAATCAGGAATTGTCAATCATTGCTCAAGTGTCATAATTTCACAGATCAGATGGGAAGGAGAAAAAAGACAGAAATGGTAAGAGAGAGAGAGAGAGAGAGAGAGAGAGAGAGAGAGAGAGAGAGAGAGAGAGAGAGAGAGAGAGAGAGAGAGAAAGGAAAAAAGAGCGAAAGAGAAATCAATTAAAGCTTAGTCTTTTGTTCATCATCTGAGTCACGATCATCACCCGCTGCCACAGAGCTTGCATTAGGCAGACATTCTGTATTGGATAAGCTTTGTCCTTCACTGCGCGAGGGAGCATCGGCTGCATTTCCGCTTGTGTGACTTTGATCCTCGTTTGACTTGGCGCTGCTTTTCTCCGGGACGAAAGACATTCCTCCCTCTTCGTCTTCGCCCTTTGCGTCTCCCGGACCCTTTTCGTCCTCGGGTTTCTGTTCAGAGCCTGTACTCAACGCGTCGACGTCCCGATCTGTCGACGCCTCGTTACCCAACAGCTTCTCGACGCTCGGCACGAGGCTGATGTCGATCTCCCTGTTGAGGGCGTCGAGTTCGAGCGATTCCGACGAAATTCTGAAATCCTCCAGCGGCGTCGACGCGTCCTCCTCACGGTCTTCGAAGGTGAGCACCATGTCGTCCTCGTCTTCACTCACCTCAAGTTCGCTGCCCTGAGCCTCCCCCAGGTCATTGGAGTCGAAGTCACAGTACCTGGCGGAGAGAAGGACCACCCCGGCCACTTCGCCCTCGTCCTCGGGGCTCCGCGGGTACCTTCGTCGGGCTTTGCGCCTCCGAGGACGCAGGCCCACTGACTTCCCAGCCTTAGGAGACCGCCTCTTCCTTACCGGGTGAGACGTCGAGGAAGTCGGAGTGGCCGGAGGCGAGGCAGTGATCTCGAGGGTGCATTCGATGCTGCTCTCCGAGGTTTCGTCGTCGTCATCGTCGTCGATTTCGTCGTCATCGTCATCATCATTTTGTTCGTAGCTCGCAGGCTGCGTCTGCGCAGGAGGTCAGAGTGAGGTCAAAGTGAGGCGGCACCTCTGGAGGGTTCCTCGCTCGGAGGGAGCGTCGCCTCTTGCTATCGTCATTGTTGCAATTGTGAGAAACATTAGGCACATGTGTACTCGCATGCACGCAAACACACACAGACGGACACACACACAGACGGACACACACACATTCATGCACATGTATCTTTACACACATATCTAACCATTTATCTATCACAAATGCATCTATCTCTCTGTTTGTCTGTCTACCTATTTGCTAATCTATCTATCAATCTATCTTTATACATATATACTGTGTATGGATAAATATGAATATATATACATACATACATGCATATATATATATATATATATATATATATACTATATTATATATATATATATAACACATATACACACACACACACACACACACACACACACACCACACACACACACACACACAACACAACACGCACACACACCACACACCACACACACACCAACACAACCAACACCACACACACACACACACAACACACACACACACACACACACACACACACACACACACACATATATATATATTATATATATATATATATATACTATATATATATATATATATATATATAGTAATATATTATAATATATATATATATATATATATATATATATATATATATACTATTGTACAAACACATACACACACACACATACACACACACACACACACACACACACACACACACACACACACACACACACAACACACACACACACATATCTATATATCTATCTATCTATCTATCTATATATATATATATATATATATATGTATGTGTGTATATATTATACATATATCATAATATATATATATATATAATATATATATATATATATATAGTATACAAATTAATTGGCATTTTATCTACCAAAGACATTCATCGTTTCTGTTAAGGTTGTTACAGCACAACTGTGTGAGAATGAGCCACACTTCACTTCATTCTGACATTCACATTCAGTAAATAATTAACGTTACACTCAATATTTTTTCCCCTTCTAGTGATTCATTTTTTTTTTCTTTTTAATCTTATTTAATATTCTATTCTTTCTCTCTCATCGTCTTAAGTTTGCAGAATCATCAGCATCCATTCTTACGATCGTCTCTCAGTACTTACGGCACCACCAGGTTTCTTGCCGTTCAACAGTGCTTCCTTTTCCTCTTCATCCATCATCTTCTTCTCCTTCTTTCTCTTTTTCTGTCCCATTCGCAGCAGGAGAATGAGGACGATGATGATAGCAATAAGGAACACAATACCGGCTGCGGCGGGCACCACTGTCATAGGCGAAATTCTTAGTTATTTTTATTTTTTTCTTGGGTATATTTTTTTTTTGATAGATAGGTTTTTAATTCACATTTTGTTTTGTTTCTCGTTCTGTTATCTTCGTAATAGGTATAAAATAAAAAGCAGTCAGGTAATTACGATCTACATTAAGTAACATGATGTGTCAACTACTGAACATGAAACTGTACGAGCAAGTAATCGAGAAATGAATAACATTTATTCAATACTATTTTTTCGGTTTCTATAAAAAAGAGGAAAAAAAACAGGTAGAGAAACAGGCAAACAAAACAAACACGACTATCTCCAGAGGAATAGTCATAGGCCATAAATACCGTTATCCATAGGCGTGTCCCGCACCGGATGTCCAGTCGGAGTCCTGACAGCCTCGAAGTGCATCTTCACGAGAGGTTGGGGCTTCCAAACGTCACCGAATACCTTTAGTGACAAAGTAGAATTTATAATTTTTTCATGGCATTAAAGAAGGACTCAATAAAAACGATAATAAACAAAGTCGGAGATAATCGACTGTATTCACACTGGCATGTATGATTGATTATTCCGCTGTCTCGATCGGAGGCAACGCACCGCGATCACGGTGTTATCTTCCCCGATTCCGCGAAGGAGGCTCGGAGCTCCCCCGGCCCCGAAGGCAGCGCAGGATCCTTCCGAGGGAGGCAGGCTGCTCTTGGCGATGTGCATATCCCGTCTCAGAGTCATGGCAAGTGGACGCAGTTTCCCCCCAGCGTAGTCGATCTCAACGTCTGTAGAGAAGTCGGAGCAAAATATGATAATCTGTGTTGGATCCGCAAGCGAGTTTTTCGAACGCGAATGTCTCCAAAAGTCGGGTGGATTTTTTTGAGGGGGGGGGCAAATATGCTTCTCCTGTTGTAATAAGATGTAATGTAAATAACTCACTCGAAATACAGCCGTGGAAGTTCATGTAGTGACTCAAACGATCATCTGTCCCTGCCTTTACGCCGCCCAGGTACAAATATGTACCATCTTGCCTGAGACTTGTCGAGATGTCGTACACAGATCGCAAGGGGAAGGTCGTATGTTCTTTCCCGTCCACCTGGCAACACGTTTAAGGGAATTATAATGGAACGAGAACCTCCAAATCATTTGTTTTTGTAGCGTTGTGGTGTGGTGCTGATGTCTGTGCAGTAGTACGAAGGTGCTTGTGGCGTCTGTTGTGTAAATAGTATAGCTTTGAAATGCATTACACAGCTAACTAAAATATACGAAGAAAAAGAAACGTCCGATCCAAGATAACCACCTTGAGAACAGTAAGATTTAGCACTAATATGTACAATAACACAACAAAGATAAGATTATAACAATCTAAATGAATGAACAGATAAGGATAAGAACAAATCATTAATAATATGATTTCGTATATAATTTCTTAAAACAACCCCCCCTCCCTCCCCATTTTTTCTTTTTTCTTCTTTGTGTATGTAGATTACCATTCAAATTCAAAGAAAAAGATCAATAACAACAAAAAATGTCTACCTTGAGCATCCATTCCGTCGACGACCTTGTGACAACCACGTGGTGTCTGTAGCCATCAAAAACATCAATTTGGTGAGCCGAGGGCGTGAGTTTGGCCCCGTGTACCTTTTGTGAGTCCAAGTCAGAGAACTGCGCCTCGACCAAGAGAGATCCGTCACTTTCCACGCCCACCAGGAGATAGTCGTGGGCGGTGCTGGGGAAAAAACAAGAAACGTGCAATGCTACGAATGAATAATTGATATCTGACTTGAAATCAGTAATCAAAGAAATGATGAATGAAAATGAAGTTATGTTCAGTGTCAGATTATATGCAAAATCATTGAGGGAACACAGGTATACGTGAAGAAAACTTACATAGATGAGATATGGAAAGTTGAAAAAATGAGGAAAACAAAATAAGCAATGGTGTTTAACATCAACAGCTGTTAAAAATAGATAAAGCCAGATAAACAGAGAGAGAGAGAGAGAGAGAGAGAGAGAGAGAGAGAGAGAGAGAGAGAGAGAGAGAGAGAGAGAGAGAGAGAAGGAGAAACAGAAACAGACACACAACAAGAAGCAAACACAGAAAAAGGCTGACAAGTGCACAGAATTAGCAAGGGGGAAACGAGAATAGGACGTCAGACGCACTACCTTGGATCGGTGGACCTGAGGAGCAAGATCAGCTGAGGTTCGCTGACAATCTTCGAGGCCGAGAAAGCGAACTCGAGAGAGAAGTCGGAAATAACAGACGAATTACTGGCTTTGCTCATCCACTGGTCTCCTCTGAAGGTGAAGGCTGACTCTGTTGACGAGAGATGGTAGGGATTACTGAGGTCATATGTGTCACGGTTTTTTTTTTTTTTTTTTTTTTTAATCAGGTCAGTTAGAGAAGAAATGAAAGAAAAAATATGATGATTGGTAAAAAGGTGCAAATCCCCGCTGAAGGTGAAGAGAGATGGTATGGATAAATGGGGCGAAATGCGTCACCAGATATTTTTCTTTTTAATCAGATTAACTGTGAAGGAGAGAAAAAATATGAAAGTGAAGGCTGGCTCTGGTGGCGAGAGAAAACGAGGATTGAGGATTGCATATTGCGTCACCAAAGCTTATTAACGGAAGAAAAAGAAAGGTCAAGAAACCATAAACGGGTGAATAAATGAGGGAAGAAAAAACGTGAAAGAAAAATAAAGAAAAGAAAAAAAAAGTAATATGGAATATGTAAGCAAATTCCCCTACCTGTAGTACAAGAAGAACCCGTGTACGACGTGCCCAAGCAATCACAGTGGAAGTTATTGACGTTCTTGAAGTCTTCGGTGCACAAGCCTCCGTTCTTGCAGGGTGATTGATCGCACGCGAGTTTGCAATCCGGTTTTACGTTTTCGTCTGTTGAGGGAAAAAAGGGCAGGTGTGTTACGTATGTGTGTGGATATGTTTGTCTCTTTTGGTCTGTAGATATTTGTATATGTATTTATTTGTATAGTTGAATGAAAGAAAGAAATGAACGGTTAGATTGATTAATAAACACACACGTATGCCTAGTCACTCACACACACACATGTCACATTACACACACACACAGTTACATTACACACACAGTCAGTTACACACACACAGTCAGTCACACACATTAGTCAATAACACACACACACACACACACACACCAGGTCACACACACACACACACACACACACAGTCACCATTACGCACACACACAGTCACATCACAGTCACCATTACACACCACACACACACCACACACCACACACACACATCACACGCACACACACACACACACACACACATTACACACACACACACACACGGTCACCGATATCACAGTCACCATCACACACACACACACACACACAGTCACCATTACACACACACACACAGTCACATCCACACACCACAGAGTCACCATCACATCACACACACACACACAGTCACCATTACACACACACAGTCACAGTCACATTACACACACACACACAGTCACCATCACACACACACACAGTCACCATTACACACACACACACAGTCACCATCACACACACACACACACAGTTCACCATCACCATCACACACACACATCACACACACACAGTCACCACACACACACACCACATACACACACACACCACAGTCACATTCACACACACCACAGCACCGATCATTACACACACACA